GGCTAATCATCTCGAGACAATGGAACGATTTAACGGCTTAATGGCTAATTTAACGTTTCTTTCGTGAATTAAAGAGAGAAATATTCTCGTCTCTTCGTCAGTCTACACGTACCTGTTGTTGTTGTTCGCAGCCATGTTTTCGCGCGTTTATGGTAACATCCGGGACGAGGCAGGAAAGTGGAAACAGCTGAACGTCACGTGAGGTAAATATGCGCTACGTCAGAATTTATTCGGCAAARGTGTTTCCATCTCCCGTTTTGCGCATTAACAACTTTACGAATCATCCAAAAACCACCTCAGGCGAGTGTAAAAACTTTTTAGCAAATTGAGGATTTTTTTTCCAAATTTCGCTGTTTCCATCCGACTATTTTCGCATTTTTAATGCGACACTTCTAAATGCGCATCAAAAAGCCTTGATGGAAACATGGTTAATGTGGCTCAAAGGGGATTTTAAATCATGTATGTTCAGGTTTTCTGTTTTTATTCTTATTCGTTTCACAGTAAATAAACATATTTTGCATAATTATAATAGTAGTAATGTTGCGTAAATTAAAATGTAAATTAAATCATTTTTAATTCAGGGTTGTAAGAAAAAAAGCAGAATAAATGCTGCAGTGGCTGAACAGTTCTGCAGATTGTGTATAAGTGACACACAGACGCTGTGTGTTTTACAGCTCTGTGGACATAAGGACACGTCTGGGAGGAGAGTCAGAACTTCGCTGCTCACCTTTGCAAGCGTTCACCACCGTGTTCAGGGCATCTTTACAGCTGCTGGATGTTTTCAGGCCCTCAACCGTGCTGGCCAGAGGAATCATGCCCAGACCGTTCAGCGGTGTGTCCAGAACAGCTGACATGAATTCCCTCTATAAAGAACAAGTCAGAGTGAACTCTTTAAATCACCACATTACCAAGACAAAACTCCATGCCAACCGTCACTGATGTCCCCCGTCGCCATTCAGTAGTGACACAACCACTGGTTAGAGACTGGATAATGTACGTCTGATTTATTGCGTGTGAAAATTAGGACCATAACTCCAAGAGACTTTTTTAAGTCCTGAAATGTTACARYTGTACTAAATTTCATGATTCCAGATCCAAGCATGGGTTGGGGCTAATTTTTTTAAACAATTGTACAGGTTGCTGTGAAGGAAATAGGCCACGCCCCCCAAAAATTGACTACATTTCTGTAGTGGGGTGGATTAGGACTGACCATAGTTAATTGGGTGCAGATCAGCTGAAATGTGTGTTATTTAGAGCCAATCTGCACCCATTTCTCTATGGTTGATCCTAATCCACCCCACTACATGAATGCGTTCAAATTTTTGGAGGGTGTGGCCTAATTGTAGTTCACGCCGTTGACTTACGTTTGGRTCTGAATTCCACATATTTCAGCCCAACATATGTCAACGGCGTGATGTCTGACTTCACCGCACCGCCATGATCCTGTCTTTCATCAAAAAGTCTTTGTGCTTGAAAACAAGTGAGATCAAGTTCTGATCTGTGTTCTAACACAATTTGTTGCTGATTGGGTCAAGAGGGACAAAGATGGAGCTTTCCAAGCCAAAAAATGTCACTTCCTGTTGTCAGGGGGGCGGGGCTTTGATGATGTCTTATGACCACACGGTATGGTCGGGCATGCAATATAGATGACATGCCAAGTTTGGTATTTTAGTTTTTCTATGTGAAAGTTACAGCTTTGTGAAACTGTAATGGACGGACGGACAGATGGATGGAGAGCATTTCTAAGTCCCCTGCCTTGGCGATGTGGGACAACTAACTGATCAACATGTTTAAACACTGTGAAGAAGTCATGTTCTCAAGATGAGCCTGAAGGAAATGAGCCAACTTACCACAGGAGTGCTGAACAGTCCACTGAGCTCTGTGAAACTGGACAGGAAGTGGGTCAGGGACGTCTCCATGGGCTCCAGCAGAACGATGCTTGATGATGGTGTTACCTTTTTAAGCAATTTCTTCCGAGATGCTAAAAAAACAACAAAAKAAACAAACTTGAAACACTTATGACAAACAGCAGCAGTGATGAAATCTGCATTAAAACTCTCAGAGCTACAAACAGTGTTGGGCAGACATTTTGAAAAAATGAGGATTGTTGACCAAATATATTCAATGAGGAAGKCACACTTTAAAGCAACACAAAGAACAGCAAGCACATCCACATTTATACAGATAAAACCAGGCAATTATGCTCAGTAGTGCTGAAGTTTACCAGTTCGTACCAAAAACTCTTTTTATTTTTGTTATATGAATTTTCTGCAGAGGTTTATATTAACTAAGTACACTTACTTTGTTACAGTCATTAAGTAGTTTGAGGATTTGTAATTTTACCAACTATTTTTTAAACAGCTACTTTTACGTTGATACATTTTAAAGCTAAAAATGATACTTTTACTTCTTTACTTTAAAATGTAACACCTAGTTACTCGTTACAAAATTAAATATGTTTGAACTCATCATGAAAGAAGTTCCTGCTATAAAAAAAATGAAGTGTTGAATTTACTCAAAGTCGTGTCAGCTGGCTCCACTAAGACTAGATGAGTAAACTGAGCAATGAATAAACACATCGCTCAATTTACTCAACCTGGCTCAGTGGAACCAGTTTGGTTCAGTAAATTTAACAGTTTTTTCTTAGTGTGTGTAAAAGTACTTCTACTTTTCAAATCTTTGTGAACAGTTTTATGACTTTTACTTGAGTAGTTTTCTCATCAGTGAGATTTCTTTTTACCAAAGTCATTTTCTGTTCATTATTTTTTTCAAGTACTTTAGACCTCTGACTTTCTGAATACTAACATACTGGTTTAAATAGTCTGAACCACCAGTGAACAGTTTCCAGTGGGACATTTGTCCTCACAGCACCACTACGTACATTAGCAAGCTAATGCTATTGTTGGAGTAACTGGCAGCAGGTGATGATCCCATTGTTTATTGACTGACGTTAAAAAAACTCTCCTGTTTTTGCCATTGCTGAATGTAGTACACACCTCTTCAGTGATGTGCACGAATAGTAGGGCTGTGTATTGGCAAGAATATGGCGATACGATACATATCATAACAGAGGGGTCACGATACGATATATCCC